GTGGTGTCGATCCGCCTATGCCGCGACAGCCTGGCCCGCAGGCTTATCGGGTATGCATACGCCGAGTTTCAACGCGCCTAGGACGCCCATGATGGGTGAGCGTTTTCTTATTCGGCGATTCGACATTGGGTGGAAAGGGGGGGGAGGGGGGTCTGGCTCCGGACCTTTGCTTGATGCGGCTGTTTGGAACCGTGCGTCCTCTGGTGGAGGCCCCACCTGCTCGAAACAGCAACCAGAAACAGCCAAGATCTACTCCAGGGGGGGGGAGGGGGGAGGCGAGGGCCCGCGCCGATCGGCAAAACAATGAGTAAGAAAACGACCATATGGCGCTCGACAAGCTGAGCTGTTCCACCATCGATGGGCGCTTGTGCCGCACCCTGTGGATACAGCGCGACCCTAACACGCGCAGGAGCAGCGCCGGGCATCCGACATGTCAGGGCGGCCCCCACAGCTGCGGGCTTCGTGCGCCACGAGAACTGGGACGCCGCCAAGCGGGCCACTGAGCCCCTGAACGGCATGCAAATCAGCAGAAAATCTGTTGGAAATCACCGTCTTCGAGAAGCGCGGTAATCGCAACTGGCCGGAGGCGACCAACTGCGTGGACATTCGCACAATGCCCACTCCGACACCCTGCCGGACGCCCTACCCTATGCCCAGCCTGGCTTCCTACCTGGCCCCCAGCCCGAGGAGCACGGCCATTTCACCGGAAAGGCACCCGAAGCGGGGGAGAAGATCGAGGATTTGGCGGAGGACGACGTGGAGGGCGAGGCTGAGGACGACACATATCAGGACGAGGTGGAAGATGCGGCGCAGGACGATCTCGAGGAAACCGTCGGCCTAACGCACACCGTCAGCGACGCGCAGGGATGCTTTCGGCTCCGCGGCCAACGTCACCCACACGGCCTCCTACCAGGCGGCTGCCCCCTCGACTCCCGCCCCGCCCATCGCGACTGCAGAACCCCCCCTGAATCATGCCCCGACCACCTCCACACTCTCGCCACGAAGGATGAGAAGCACAAGGTTCAGGAGGACGAGGACGAGGGAGTCAGAGGACGTGGAGTCCAACGATGAAGGCAGGACGACTTCGTGAACCCCAATGACCCACTCGACGGCCCCTCCCACAACACTCTCACTCCTGGAGACGGGTTTCCCGCCCACACCGACCCCGTCGACTTACCGTACGACCCCTCCGACGGTCGACACTTTGCTCTCCCTGACGGCCTCCCTGGTGACTTCTCTGTGCCGGAGTGGGAGGAGGATAGCGAGGACGTCGAGGAGGATGACGACCCCCACCCCCCCAATGCACTCCCCGACGCCTCCACGCCTGTCTGCGCGACTAGTGGCGTGCCCAACTCGTCGACTCCCTGGCCGACCAGCACGCGCATTTACGATCAACGACCGCATCGTCGACTCCAGCGCCTACCAACCCACCGACACCAACAACTACGTCTTCAGGGCTTCGCGGTTCCGCGGCCAGCGGTACATGCATGGCCAGCTCGTCGCATTCAGCCCCAACCCGTATCGGTGCGGCGACGCCTGTGGCCTCTCGGACCAATTGGGCGACACCAAGGCCCAGGAGGACATGGGGAAGAAGGATGAGAACATTGAGGACTACGATAAGAACGACGACGAGTCAGACCCGATGCGGAGACCGACGCACTCGCCCCTCGATGGCCAGCCCGACAGCCAACGCGTTCACCTTCCTGAAGGCGCATCGAGTCTAGCCCCCCCCCACGGAGCCACACTCCATGTACACCCCGCCTCAGACGGCGGGCCGCGCCTGCTGAGCGCTACGACGACCGTGCCGCGCAATCATTATGGCGCCACCGCCCCCGAGCCAGATAAGCATTACCACGACGACGAGCTCGAGGGATCCACGCCCCATCCCTTCCCAACGATGCCCTACCCCACACCCTCTTCGACGCCCTTCCCTACACACTACCCGACGCCCGCAAGTGGAGGACATCCATCCGGTGGGACATCGAGACCCGCTGGATCGAACACATCCTCAGAGTCCACCTACAACAGCTCCGTGACGAACGCCACGCCCTCCAGGTGCTCCAGCACGAGAACGAGCGGCTAGCGGAGGTCGCTTCGACAAACAAATTGAGCTGGCCGATCCCACACACCCCGACGACGCCGATCCCTTGCCCTACGATGGTGCCGATCACGACGCGGCGAGCATTGTTCGGCCATGCGGCACCAACCTCGACCGACACGACGGTCCCCACGGCCAGACCCGACGGAGCCCGACGCCCAAGACTCCCACCCCGACGAGTTCCTCGTCCCCCTTGCCACGGGGGGGGCGCTTTGCCGACGCCCTGCCCTGACGCCCACAGCTTCTCCCCGTGGCGAATCCCACGATGACCCCCCCTGCGGCGGGTGCGTCTCGCCGACGCCCTCGCGACGTCTACGGCTCCCCTCCTGACGACCTCCACGACGCCTCACCCGAGGGCCCACAACGACAGCCCCCACAGCACCCCGCTGCCGCAACCATGCCAACCACCGCCCCCCCCTGGCCCTGCTGCCGCAGCGCTGTCAGCCACAACCCAGGCCTTCGCCGCTAACATTGGCAGCCCCCGCCGCCCCACCACACCCGACGGCTGGCCCGATTAGCATCACGGCCACTACGACGGCCACGCCGAAAACCACCACGGCGCCCTTGCACGTCCTGGACACGACGACCCCCAAACTGCCGCTGAGACCCTGTAGGCAACACGGGTCCCCTCATGGGGCCCGCTGCAACCTGCGGCAGCCACCGCCGACTCAGCTGCCGCAGCCATGGCATCACCCCCTCTCCCCCACCGACTAAGTATGAACAGCTGGCCCGTGGCACGGGCCAAGTCCACCTCCACGATGGATCGCCACCATCGCGCACTCATTGACGATTCTTCCTCCCCCACAAACTGACCCGACGCTCCTCCCGCGACCATGTCCACCACCACCACCACCACCACCACCACCACCACCACCACCACCACCACCACCACCACCACCACCACCACCACCACCACCACCACCACCAACGACACCTTCAGGGGACGCGGACACCGACTTCTGCAACTCCACCCTTCGGATGCTCAGTGGGGACTGCGACCCGTTGAGAGGCCAAATCAGGGCGGCTCGCCCGCCGCCGCAATCGCCCAGGGAGGTAGCAGGGGAGATGAAAGAAGAGAGGACGATAAAGGGGGAGGACCACCAGCAGAAGGGGGGAGGACCACCAGCGGCACGACTAACTGACCACCCCCCTCCCCTTCACCAGAAGCCCCCCCCCCTCCAAGCGACCCTTTCTGCCCCTGTCCCCCCGCTTCCCCCCCTTTTCTTTGTGGGAGGAGCCCTGGGAGTCTGAGGGGCTTGGGTCGTTCTGCCTCCCTTCCCTCTCACGCCCCTCCTCCGTCGTCCCCGCTTCTCATCCTTGTCTCTCTCACCTGTCTCCCCGCGCTGCTCCTCCTTCTGGAGGAGGACAGCTACACAAGTCTGCCTCGTGGCTCTCGCTTTCCACCCAAGGAAAAATGGAATGATCGGAAGGCGAAGGGGGAAGCGGAGAATGGAGGTGGATCTGTACAATTATTCGGCTGGCATCCTTGTGCCGTCCCCGCTCCTCGTTCTCCCTCGCCTCTGGGTGCCCACCCCCTCGTCCGGCCGGGCGCCAACGAGCCACCTTCAAAATATGTGGCCTGCAATTGCAGGGCTCGATCCCTGGGATGAGACAGCTACCGTCCTTAGCGTCAGGAGGAGGAGGAGGAGGAGGCGGAGGAGAACGAGGAGGAAGAGGATGAGGATGAGGACGAGGAGGAGAACGAGGGGAAGGAGGAGGAGGAGGAGAAGGAGAAGGATGATTATGATGAGGAGGAGGAGGAGCAGCAGTGACAGCGGGAGGATGATGAGGAGGAGGAGGAGGAGGATGTCCTGGCGCGACCACGACGGTCGCTGGTAGGGCACAGGTACACAGTGGCGAGGGGGGATGAGTGAGGAGACTGCCAGCGCGTGGCAATGCCGCAAATGAAAGGAAGACGAACACGTCTACACTCGCCTCGAATATAGTGGAGGCCAGTCCACAAGAAACCTTCCACAAGAAAGCCAACCCTGAGACCCCAGGGCGTCCATTGATTTTTGGTGTGGGAAAGTCGCGCTTCCTATAGCAAGATCACCGAAACCCAAGAAACCCAGGGCACCCTGGAGGCAAGCAGGGTGTTTCTTGGCGTGGGCCTCCACTGTAGAGTTGGGTGTGGTGGGGTTAGATGCAGTTGCGCCAGCGTGGTGAGGTGGAATGAGACGACAGTGAGTGCACCACACCTGGGAGCCGACACGCAGGTTAGAGCCCCCACTGTAGGGCGATTCCTCTCTAAAGACTGGGCGGCGAAAGGGTAAGCATGGTCACTACCCGGACCGCCAGCTGGGAGATGACAAGTAAGTACTTGGACTGTGGCAATTGTGGCCATAGCGGTGTGATGATGTGCTCGTAGGCGCGGTGTCCCACATTTTGAAGCTTATCGTGGACCTCGAGTGGACCTGTTGAGGCCGCCTGACGCCGACTGGGGAGTCTTGAACACCTTCTAGAGCTATCTTGAGCCCTCTTGGCGGCCCGTCGATGCCATCTGAGCCACCTTGGAATCCAAGAGCCCCCCCCCCAAGAAATGCGGCAGCGCGCTATTGATTGGCACATCGCAGCACCTTTGTTCCTAACACACATGATGTTCCCTGAGCGACATCCATCATACCAACGACATTCGCCCCAAGGCTCAGGGGACGCTCTTAAAGTACAGACCAACTGAACCAATTGTGATGTGCCGCGGATGCTTACCCGCAGGATCACGACCCTGGGAGAACACACAAGCAGCACTCAGAACCAGGTATGGGACGATGTTCACTGGCAAGCTTGCCCAAACAAAACCTAGCAACACTTTCAAAGCATTACGGGCACCGAGTCTTTTAGGCGGCGCGCCTGGGGGGGGGGGGGGGGGGAAGTGAGAAAGGGGCGGGACAGTTTTCGAAGCCTT